TGACAAACTAACTACCTATATTTCTAAATTTCTAGATGTAGATGATTGCTAACAGTTATGACTCGAGTTTGAACATTAGTCAAGTGAAACAGCAAAGTCATTTATTCTAATCGACCCATTAAAAATGGTCTTTAGGGTAAAAATCTCAGTATACAGATTCTGTAGTTTTTTTAAGTTCTTTTTTTTCGTTTGATGTAACTTTTAACAAATTATCGCTGAACACCCTGATACTTGTTTTCACCTATCAAAGAAAAATACTCTTATTTTGATGTAACAACTCATCTATTCATCCTTTATTCAACGAACAATTATAACCTAATATAATATATGCAACACAAAACAGAAAAAGATAACGATTTTTCAGAACTTAACGAATTTCTCCCGACTTGTCTTTCTCTTGATCATCATGACATAAGTTACAGATTCTGTTACAATAAAAAAAACACGCAAAGTATAAAGGACGAATGCTGTGTTTCGAAATGTAGAAATACAAAAGACAAGCAGTTTCAATGGCGATCGATTACCGTAGGCACATAATGATATTAAGTTTGAGATTTTTCATTTTATATATTTTGTATTTGTAAAATGAAGCCACAAAGAAAGCATGTAAGTTCCGAATTTCAACTCCAAAAGGCCTGTGATGGCATGCTTTTTCCATGTATGAACACACATAATTTCTTTTATTGTTTGAATATTCAAACTCTCCTTTTTTAACAGCCTTCGCATGTAAATAAATTCTCATACAAGAATTAGAGTTATTTCCTCTTACTTATATTGTGATGAAAAAAATGATCGTCTTGTTTTTCTGATGTATTTTTAGTTTTTATACGATGCAGCGAAGGCAGTACTTTCTCGGTGTATAATAATTATCAAAGAAAGAAAGAAACAAACAAACTGCAAGTCTTCAACACGAGTAATACAAAAGAGAAAATCAATTGAACCATAATATATACATAGTTTTAATATTAAACATTGTTCTTCTATTGCTTTGTTTTTATTTTATGTTTATGAGACTCAGTTGAGAAGTAATAAAAACAAGGATCTGATTAAGTCAGTAGATTTTGTTTGTTTTTTTTTCACTAGGTATTCGAATGACAAAGAAAAAAAGTGAAAAAGAAAAGAATAACAAATAACATTTATTATAATGTTGTTTTAATCTTGTCGACCTTTTAATTCTCGTAATGTAATCTTATCTTTCTCAATAACATAAACAATTGCACCCCAACCACTAGCAGAATCACGATCAACACCATTAAGTAAAGCTTGAGATGTTGCTTCAAATAATTCATCTGGATTCATATTTGGTTTAAAAAAAAGTTCACCTAACAAAACAATATAAACTAATAAAAATTCAAACAAAAAAAAACATTATCATACCAAGACCAAATATATAGTCACTAGCTGTTCCAACTGTAGCTAAATTAACATTGTCACTAATTGCTCCAATATTATCTGAATCATAAACAAATGTTTCACCAGTTTTAGGATCAAGACCAACAACAAGTGCATATATAAAATAAGGTCCAAATCGTCGTTCATATAAAAGATTTGTTAACATATTATATAATACAATTGGTTTTATTTTTCTTTGTTCGCGTAATTCATATAAATTTGTACGATATTTCAAACGTTCAGAAACTGTTTGAACCTATTTCGAATTTCAACACAATTCAAAAAGTAAATTGCTTTTAAGTGAGAAGAGTTCAGTTTGTGTGTACGCGAAGGACAAATTTCTCTTACTGGAAGAAATATCGTTTTTTTTTTTGAAGTTGTAGACTACAAAATGTGTCTAAAGAAGAAGTCCAGCATACCATGAAAAATTAAGGATTTGTGAAACTTTCTTATTAATATTTCATCAATTTTTTATGTTGGTATGTGGAACAGCCCGACTTTTTACGGAAAAAAAAACATTACTCAATAGTGTTTACATTAAATTTTAGCACATATGAGTCGTAAGAATATAACATTTGACGTGAGTTTTACATGACCATCTTATTCATATCTATATGCTGGACTTCACTTCCAGACACATTTTGAACTCTCCAACTTCAGAAAAAAGACCTTTCTTCCAAAAAGAAAAGTATTTTGCTCCATAGAGCCAAACCTAATGACTAAATTTTCACGAGCGAAATTTGTCCGGAAAGCAAATTTTTCAAATCTCATCAATCCTCTTAGATCTTATCCAAATTGGAGGATATATTATAGAAAGAGGAATGGGTAACTTGTCTAATATAAAAAACAATAACAAAACTTACATCTGTTGCTAAACCACAAAATGCAACAAAACAATGATCACCATATTGAAATATTTTCGTAAAATTCGTTGCTATTGTTCGATTTTGTACACCATAACGTTTATCACATGCTATAGCAACACATTCTTTACCTTTCATTGCTAAAGCAACACCACCATTATATGACATAATATCATCGCCCATTTTCTACTTTTTCTTTTCTTATTCAATCTACAATTATGTCATGTACGTAGTTTATTATATGGATAGAAGTAAAAAAATAATTCAGAGTAAAAGAAAATTGCACTGTTCACGATAAAAAAAAGTAAAAAAAAAAAAGTTCGAATCGTTTAGAAGATTGGAATATAGTTATCGATTCTAAAAACAGATAACCGAAAAATAGAATTAACACTAAAAATATTTGATTTACCGTGCACGATGTTTTTGTGCAATACATTCAGCAATCCATATTATATTACGATTTTCTTGTTCTTTTAATTTCAGATATGCATAAAATATACCAAAATGAAACTGACGAAGAAATGCATTCATATTTAATTTAACCTAAATAGAAATAAATTTTTTTTTTTATTTTAAGAAATAAGTAAGTTTTACTTCATGTTCAAAAAATTTATCTTCAATTGTTTTATCACCTGTATTTGTTCCGGCTCCTTCAAATAAAACTTTATATTGCTAAAATATATAGAATACAGTCGAATTCATTGAAAATAAAAAAAAAACAAGAACTATGACAAACAGGATAACGGGCAGCAACATCTCGCACAGCATCATAACTATCAGTACGTCGTAATTCTTGTAAACCATCTGGATTTAAATGACCACATGTTGGATAAAGTTTTGCACGTTCATCTTGTGTAAGACCAGTATCAAATGAGTTAATTGTAATCATAAATGCTCGACGATCAGCTTCAAACTAAAGTAAAAATTTTTTTAATTTTTTTATATCCTTCATTACATACAGCTAGAATTTCACACATCACGTCAGCTGTAACACCGCCAAGTTTTTTACAAAAATTATAAAAATCTTCAAGATATGCCTAAACAAAATATTGTTAGTACGAAATAAGAAACTTTATTTTGCTGTACTTTATAAAGTGTACTACGGATAATTTCAACATTTAATTCATCAAGATCATGTTCTGAAATACAATCAATAAAATACGGTGCTAAAAGAAAAACAAAAGAAAACTTTATTAAATCAAAAATCTATTTGTTATTTACCCAATGGTGTATCAACAAGTACAGCTGTATAAAGTTGAGCAGGTGTATCAGCAACTGTAATAGCTCCAAGTTGTTCAAAACTTCCCAGGGGATGACAACGTGGTAAAAGATCACCAATGGCACGTTGATGAAGAGTACCCGTAATTAATAAAACAATATTATCAATCATATAAGCATATCTAATACAAAACAAAATTTGATTAAATATCAGCTGAAACTTTAGAACAGCACATTTGAATTAACAGTGTAGATTTCTCATGCACGAATAGCTAATATTATTTGTAATCGTCGAATTTCTTCAGAATTCATCTTACATTATTATTTCTTAATAAAGTGTAGATGCTAATCCAGACTAAAGATATGAAGAATTAAGTTTTTTTTTTAGTCCCATTGATGATAGTTTTCAAGTCTCGATCTAGAAAACACTATTTCAGAATTTATTCACATAACATGTATAAAAATTTCTCCATGCGTCTTTTTCTTTTTAGATCATCTCTCTTGATTTATGTTCGAATTGATATGGTTTATAAGATAATTCACTAATTAGGACAACTTTCTGTTGTGGACCTAGATAAGAATCAAAGTATATTGTACAAAGCAAACAAATATTAACTTCGAAAGTAATATTTTTCTAAAAACGCATACACCTCCCTTGCACTAATTGCTTTCATCATACATAAATTTGTTTGATTTGTGAAATCACAAACTGAAAAATGTGATAATAAAAAATCATAACTCGTAAAAAACATTGATGATCAAAAGTATCTTCTTCTCTGTACTAATTGAAATCATTACATACATATCCATAGTCTATTATTATTATATGAATACTTACGTTATATAATCTAAAAATGTTGATAATGGTTCATAAGATACATTTCGTAAATGTTGAAATTCTTGAACAAGTTTTTCACGTAAACGATCATCAATAACATTAACAGTTAATGGACTTGCTTCATTAGCCAAAAAATTTCCATAATCAGTTGATTGAAGATGAAGTCTCAAATCTTTACGAAAGAAAACAAACATACATATCGATTCTTTTTCATTTTCAAACTTAAATTTAATTATTCTCTTAGTTTTTACCTTCAAGTGTTTCACATTGTACTAAATTATGATAATCACTTGCTTTTAAAATTCCACTTTTAAATCCTCGACATAAACCTTCAGCATAACCATGATCAAGATTAAAGAAAAGATCGTCTTTCATTATAGAATAGAAAATTTTCAAACTATCTGAAAATTAAATAAATCAATGCTCACACTAATTTGATCGCTTTAATAAGAAACAAATCTATACAAATACATTCAAATTGATGTGTCTAATAATAATAATAATAATATATGAATAATAAATAGAACAAAAAAAAAATCATTTGTATATAACAATAAGAAAAAGAGAATAAGAGATTAAGCTCTATTTAACAATAACCGGCACATACAAATAAAAATTTATCAGCTGCAAAAGAAAAAAAAAAGGAAATGTTTGTTCAATAAATCACGTATCATAGATAATGAATAACATTAAGGTGAAGTATGTGCTGTTTCTGTAAAAAACGCAAGTAAATGGTCAACAGTAAATTCTAGTTGTATATTCGAATTTGGATAACAAAGTTCAATTAATTTTGTCATTCGTTGATGTTCTTCTAATACTAGAGTTTGAATATCATGCCATATTGCCTAGACAAGAAAAAAAAAGAGAATAAGATTTAACTTTTTCTTGTCAATAGTTTTCTCTCTATGACATTTCTTGATTGAGATACATCAGTCTTACTGAAGGGTATAAAAATGATGTTTCCATATGAAACAATAGGAAAATAAACGATTTTTATACCTTCGATGAGAGAGACCGACAATTGATCGCATGCTCCATAAAAGCATTATTTCTATTTTGTTTCTCACAATCTTCAATTCACAAACATATGATTCAATCGCATACAGCACCTTACGAGGGGAAGAATGGCATAAGAAAAATAGTTTCATAATCTAATGAGTTTCGTCATAACCGTTGGAGAGAGCTGAAAAGCTTGATCCTAGAGAGGTTCTATCCTTAGAAAACTAGCAATTCTTGTCATTTTCGAAAATTCTTGAAAGTATAAATAAATTGAAAAATAAACTTGTTCAAATGATTTAAGACATCATTATATACTCACTTGCGTAAGAGATGAATTTTCTGATAAATATTTTTCAATTTTTTTATATAAATTTTCTAAACCACGTTTAACCTACAATTAAATAATAAAGAGATATTTGTTGATTAAAAGAAAATATAAAATATTTTTATACTTCTTTTGGTGGATGTTCACGAACAAGACGACGTAATTCAATAACACTACAATCACTTTGAAATTGTACATCTTCATCTTTAGCTAAACGTTTACGAAGTTCATCAACACGTTCAAAAAAATTCTATTGAAAAATATGAATAAATTAAAAATATGTTATCGATTTTTATATCTCTTTGTTTTTTTTTACTTACATGTAATCGTTCAAATGGAAATCTACAATATTCACGTTCATATTCAGCTTTGGCAGCATTATAATGTTTTCGTGCTTCTTGTTTTTCATTTTCTAATGCAGATAATTTATTGATACCCATTATATCTATGATATTAAATTATTTAAGATAAGAGATAAAAACGTGTTATTTAACTTACGTTGCATTTGATGATAATTTTCTAGAGAAAAGAAAAAAAAAAGGAATCAATTTTTTGTATTTCGAATAAAGTCATTAAGATTTTATTTCAATCTTTTGACTTTTTTTTCCACCAGTCAATCTTTACAAAAATTCAGTTCCTTCACTGTGGAAAATAATAGAATAATCTCTGTAGTCAAATCGTCTGAATTCAACTGTTATATTTAATAGACAACAGTTGGAACCTGTCTCTTCCTAGATAACACTTTAGCGATTCAATTTTTCTAATACAGCTAGGTATGAAGCTAAAGATTTTATTCTAAAAGTCTGAATAATGTAGACTAACGAGGGAACATTCCCAAGTGTCACATCGCTTTTAAGTCGAGCATATGCGCACTATGTAGATGCTAGCAATCTATGAATTCTCTGAAAAAAGTTCGTGCCGCTAGCTTATTATTGCTGAGATACTGCCTTTTTACTGTATGTTTAAGAAAAAAGAGCTGTGGTCCCCCCTCAGGGACATTTGAAAAACTGAATTTCGAATTTCCACTTCAAACTTTGTATAGATATAGATCTCGATGAGAATAGTTGATTGTGAAAGTTTCAGCTCTTTTCCCTGTTTCTATCCTAAAATGCAATTATCTTAAAATTGCTTCTATACACCGACAGACCCGATGTTCCTATCTCAGACTAGGAGCAACCAAAAAATCTAAAACCTTCACAATAAACTATTCTCACTGAGGCCTATCTACATGCAAAGTTTCAGGCGAAAACTCAAAACTCACTTTTCCTGATGTTCCTGAGGGGGACCACGGCTTTTTCCAAAACACATAGTAAAAATGTTGTATCTCAGCAGCAAGAGGCTAGCGGCACGAACTCTTTTCAGAGAATTCATAGCTCATTAGAGCCTACATAATGCTCAAATGCTCGACTCAAAAGCGATGTGACACTTGGGAATGTTCCCTCGTAAGATATTTTATTTGATATTGATCGAGAAAGAATAAAATCATTGTTATCTAGAATCGCTAATTGTCTTATGTGAGGATGTTATACTTATTGTTGGTTTAACAGATTAAAGTTATACAAGTCAATTGGAGTATTAGATTTATTAATTTAAATATTTTTTCGTTTGATTTCAATACAATTAAAATTGTATGATTATCTTTTTTATCTCCTTACCAAGTCGAATCATTGAATCAGGTATTTTTGCATCATGAACCATCGTAGCAGCACATTCTTCAATGCCTCGAAAAATAGCTCCTACTAAATTTTTATAAACTCTATGTAAATCCACTGCTCTTGCTGATTTATCAAAAATAACTTCAGCTTCTTCACTAAACTCCTAGATTAAAATAAAATACTATGAAAAAATTAATTTTATCAAAAGAAGAAAAAAATTAATATTACTAACTGCAAAATAATTCACAAATGGTAAAATTCCAACTCGACGATTTTTAACTGGACGATATTCAGTTATACGTACACATATATCATTCTAAATTAAATTTGATTAAAAAATTCAAACACACAAAAAAACAAAAACATTAAACTTACAATATAACTATCAACATCTCGTTTAAGTAATATTAAATTTCCAGCAAATAATTTATTAAGAAATGCTCCAAAATTTTGTACAGCTATTGTATTTTCACTCATACGAACAAATAAATAAAGAACCGTACTAGAACAAAAAAAAATCTTTTATGTTTAAAAAACATTTTCAAAAAATAATACATACAATGGATCAACATTTTTAATATGAGTAATTAATGCTTTTATTTCTTTATCAAATGGTTCAAATAAGTCCGAAAGCATTTGTCTATGAAAGAAATAATAAAATAAAAAATTCATAGTGATATAAAGTTTCATAGTATATATACTTTAATCCTGATGAACTAAAATTTTCAATACTTTCTGTTGATTCTGGTGCATTCTAAATAGAAAAACAAAAAAAGTATATAAAAAGTTTGCTATTGCAAATCCTTTGGGAATTAAATATTAAACTCATATGTGTTTTTCAGTCTCATTATATTATCCAAGTTATGAAATACGAGTTTGTTTCTACCTGAAAGCCCCCGTACCAGGATTTATCTACTAAAAGCAGATACTATCTTTGAACTGTACCAAAAGAGAACTATAATTTCTACGGGTGAGATCTCATCTTCAACTAGGTAACTGTCCTGGTAATTCCAGTTTCGTATGGACATTTCTATAAACATTATATTTTTCTTCGAAAAAACTTCATGTGAGTTTCATATAAATGAAATATTATTTAAGAAGATAACTTACATCACCCGAAACAGTTTCTTCTTCGAGAAAATTAAAGAAATTCACACAAAATAATTGTTCTTCACGTACAGCAGGTGCAATTTGCATTAAAACACGTTCAAAAATCTTTTTTTTTGTTTAAAAAAAAGAAAAACATTAACAATATTTTATTTTAATATCAAAATAAAATTACTTTATCACATCGTGTACGAAATTCTTTTGTTGAATTTCGTAATGAAAATGGATCATAACCTGGTATACCACCAACTGATGAATTTTGATTATGTTGTTTATCTCTACGAATTGTATTTAATGTTGAAATAGATCCAGCTAAATATATGAATATATATATATTCTATATGATAATAAAATTTTTATATACCTGCGCCTTTTTCTGACATTGAAACAACACCACGTGTAACACCTAATTTTGCTGATTCAAAAAAACCATGAATTTCTTTAGCATAAATTGGTCGTATTTGTGAAATATAGGCCTTTTTACAAACAAAAAAAAAAGATATTCAAATTAAAATTGAACAAAAGAATCTAATATTTTGTTTCATAATTACTTGACAAACATCTTTAAAATGATTTGGTGATGATACTTTTAACCATTGACATAAAGGACTAAAAGGTAAAAGTGGTTTGATTATTTTTTCACCATGACGTGGTAATTCATTACCACCTAATTCAAAAGGATCACCATATTCTTGAGACTAAAACAAAATAAATGAATTAAACTGATTAAAAAAAAAAATCTAACATATTTTTTCTTGAGTTTTCTATGAAAATAATTTCGTTTTACGTTAAAACAATAAGAATAGAGAATTATTACTAAATTTTATGAAAAGTACTTATGTTTGAATAAGTATATGAAGAAGAATTCTTTAAAAAAGAAAATCTTTTATATATGATAAGAACGGATTGATTCATTACCACGATTTCTTTTCTCTAGAGGTACGCATTGAAGATTTTAGTATTGATTTATATATATCTCTTCTACTGATTGATTTAATTAATAGTTGATTAGCTTAGTAAAGAATATTTTGATAATAATACTTACAATGTCACTAATATTTTTCATAAAATATGAAACTCATCAGAAATCATCTTATTCTAGGATATAAAGTGTTTCATCTAAAGGTGATACTTTGGATGTATATGTACAATAATGTACTCTAATTGCAAGCATCAAACCACCCTTGATTGATTCATATGTGCTGTAATTACGATTCAGACGTCATTTTCCTATTTTGATTACGTTATTCCTATTATTTTTATATAAATATTTTCTTTCATTTCCTTATTTAGTGATTTCTACTGCAAATTTCGTTAGAAATCAATTTACATATAAATGAGATACTGTCTGCTCATAAAAAGCAAAGTAGAAAACCGTACCGTGACAGTGAAGTTATCTGCCTGATGTTCAGTAAGTCTGATTCGGTTTTGGATATTAATTTATAGAGAACGGTTATATGTGTCGAGAATTATTAATTGAAGTTTACTTACATGAAAAACAAATTTACTACTAAGAAAATTTTTACATCGTAATGAAAATGCTTTTTGAGTTTGTTCAAGTAAATCTCGTCGTTGTCTAATAGCAGCCATTTTTTCCATTCCTATATAGCATTCAAAAATGAGATTATTTTCTTTTCAAATGAAATTTCTAAACCTGGTTGTAATTGTACACCTAATGCTTGAGTTAATAATGTTGCTGCTTGAATACACATTGTTCGATCATTATCATTTGTTAAATCACTATTTTGTAATAATTTAATATAATCATCGGAAAAATCTTGCATTTCCTTTGTTTTTAATGACGAAAAAAAAAAAAAGAACAAAATCAACGAATTATTTATTGATGAAAAATAAATTTTAAATAATCTTATCAGTAAATTTTCAAGTGTTTCACTGAGTTTTTTAACATTAGCTGTTTCAATTTGTATTAATGAATCTTTTCGACTCATAATTTTAACTGCATCAGCTACTGTCTATTAAAGAGAAAAAATAAAATTTTTTGTTTTTATTTTTGACATAAAAAAAAAAATTTTTCTAACATACACTTAATTTTTTTTCATAAAGACCTAAGCGACCATCAATTTTTGATATTTCTTCAACTGCTTTATCTAACATATTCATTAATTGAACAGCACCTTTTTCTGATGCCATTACTGTTTCAACATTTGCCTAAGATAATAATAACGAAAAGATCATTAATTTATTTATTTATGTTTTTATTTACCACATCAAGATCAGTTAAACGTTGTTGAAGCATATCAACAAAACGTTCAGCATCTTTAATAGCAAAATCATATTCTGACATAAGATTAGTTAAATCTTGTTCTTCTTGTTGTGTTATAGCATCCCATGTTTCAGGTAATGATGTACGACTTGATAATGGTTCAAGATTTTGTGTATCTAAAAAAAAAAATTTTTAAAATAACTTTGATTTTTTGTTTTCGTGAAATAAAAAGATTTACTTACTTCCTAGTAAATCATCATCATTTGGAATATTAAGATATTTAGGTTTTTCTCGACTATGTTTTAAATAATGAGCTGTTATCTAAAATTTTAGACAATTCAAAAAAAAAAACAAATCTTGTTCTTTGTTTTCTTTTCTCATTGATACAAACTTTTCTTAAATTAGTAATAAATTCTTTTTTTTCTTCTGATGTTGAGGCAAGAAATGTAAATTCTCGATCTGCTGTTGTTATATCAATACCAAGTGATGATTGTTGACGTTTATCATTTATTACTGGAGCATAATCAATTGTTTTTATATCAGATAATATTATGTTTATTTTCTTTTTAGCTATTTCATTTGTTTTTTCACCTAATCGAACTAGATGTAATGTTGGTTGTGGATCTGCTTTTTGATAAACTAAACAAATTTTTAAAATATATAAAAAAAAAAAATACTTGATTTACTAAGAAGTTCTTTCTAAGATTTATGCATATGAATAATACAAAAATATTCATATTTGAAAGTGAAGAATATTTAAAGATTTTATTTTCTCCATAAAATCTTAACTGTCTTTTAGAAGTAATCTGTCGTATTAATAACAAGATTTTTCCCATCATCATTTGATCAAAGATATAACTGTTTATGTAACAGAACTGTCGATCTGACAGATTAGACCAAAGTTTTGAAAATCCAATGTTGATGCATTGTCTTATTGTTGAAGAGTACTTTGACAAATTTATTCAACTCGAGCAATAAATATTTTACTGTTGCGAAAATTAATTGTCAAAAACGAATTTTCTTGTTTTTCTATTATATATATAATTTATCTCGTTCATTTTCTCTTACCTGTTCATACTATGTCTAGTCGTATGTTGTTTTTGCTATCATAATTACACTTTTTTCGATTATACAAAATAGAATTAATATGATCAAAAATATTGCATTAATTGAAGTCTTTGTTGTATGAAAAATATTTATGATGCTTGTCTGTTTGTTTTAACTTGCTATGTCGTACAAGAACTTGTCATTATTTTATCTCTTAAATAGTGTTAAGGAACAAAAAAATTGATATCATGTCGCTGATTATTTATTCACATATGATAAGAGTTCACGATTGTTTCTGACGGTGATAGAGACTGAAACCATTGACTTTGTGGTTTTTTTTTGAGAGAGACAACATTTCTGTCTAGTTACCTGTTAGAAGCAGAGCTAAAGCCGATAAAATTTTCTTTGCTACCATGGTTTCCTACGAGATTGTAAAAAATTTTACAAAAAGTTTGACATTTTTAGGGAAGAAAAGTTCGCACCATTCCCGTTTTAATCGATAACCTTGCATATGATAATATTGGTGTAAACGTTTTTTTTAATCATGTTCATTCTAACATAATTTTCGCTTTGATAGAGTTTAAGAGTGTGTCAATTTTACAAATAACTGGAAACAAATTTTATATTAAGAATTCATAGTTATAAGCACTTTGTTTAAAATAATCACTATAAGATATTCTCCGAATTACTGTCTAATCATTTCTTGGTAGCAGTTTATGAATTATTCATCAAATAATACTATAAACATTATCCTAATGAAATAATCTGTTTAAAATACATATACTTACTACAAGCGCATAGAATGTACATCTTATCTTTTGATTTTTTTGTTACGTCTTGTACACGACATAAAGCAAGACACGTTTCTTGTGTTGCTGAAAAGAGATCATCATTTAATCTTGTTTGAATAACCTTTAAATCTTGCATCTAGAAATAGAATAATGTGATTCATTGTGTTCAATCTACTACAACAGGCAAAATAAAATTTAAAAAGTATAGAATATCAACAAGTTCAATGTAAGATTATTTAGAAATCAAAGTTATTAATAACAAAATCTCTTTATCATTACGACAAAAAAAAATGTGAAGATAGAACTAAAACAAACATTTAAAAGCATGAAAATTATTGTCTATCGATTTTTTTGATGATGACTTGTATTAAATGAAGAAAATAATATGTTTTTATGATAATAGGTAAATGAATAGAAGATCCGAAGAGTAAAAACGGCTGTCCTAAAAGAATGAAGATCAAAAAAGTAAATAGATGAGTCATTTTTTAGTGGAATCACTAATGACATCTTGAAAGATTAGATGACAAATCATTGATATTCGAGATTCAACTTTTTCATATACGCATATTCGATAATAATTCAAATTCAAAAGATAATATTTTCTTCTTAAAGTATATTATTTAATTCAGAAGATGTCGCACGATATAGACTAATGTTTATCATATGTTTTGCTTTCATAGATTGATGAGAAGCATAGCGTACCATTTTATGACAGTTCATCAGTGTCAAACTATGACGGGTGTGGATACGAGTGCAAAAGTTTTTTACATCCTTGCTCACTCTCGTAAATTCACTTTTGATGCTCCTTCAGAATACTTAAAGACTAACAAGTCATGCGACAAATGATCCTAGCACGAGGGAGCTCCGGCTCCGAGATTTCAATAAAGTATATCTGCAGCTCCCTACCTAGTACCGTACGCCTAAGATAATTTTTTGTTTGACGAACCCATGATGTTATCTTATATCGATCTTTTTTCTCAAACAGTTTATATCACAGAATAATCTATTAAATCTAGTTACACAGAGAACGACTTTCATTAATGAACCATATAATGTAACTGGTCTAAAATATTTCGTATATTTTTAATATATCAATAGAAAATATATGCGAAAATAAGATTATATAGGATATTTTGATTTTTTCAACTTATTTATTAGCTTACTTTAGTTTTAAAATAATACCAGATACTTATTGAATAGAACCAGAAAGAAAAATATCTTAAAACTAACTTTCATTGTTGACTCAAAGAAGAATACTTTTTAATCAATCATGTTCTCAAATGTTCACTATTGATTTTTTTTTAGTGAAATCTCTTATGCTCGTATTAAAATGAATAAAAAATTTTTAACAGATTTATTTTGTCAACACAAAACAGTAAAGATTAATATTTATTAGAATAATTAGATCTAATGGGAATTAAATACTACCAGATTAAAAAAAAAAGTCTTAATTAAATATAAGTAATAAAGCAAGTTTAATAATTAATAATGAAAATAACAATAAAAAATAAAGATTTCTGCTTATAACGAATCAATAGAAATGTTAAGTCTAGCGTTCTATTAAAAGAAAAAGAAAATATATGTCTTATTCAAATTAATTCACAATTATATCGTTCTTATTGTTTTAAATAATCATCTCGATTAACTTATACAATTTTAAGAAAAAAAAAATTATGATTATCTTTGAAAACTAAACTAGTCCATGGGTGCGGATCCAGCAAGAAGCGCTAAAGGTATAGCCACAAATGCCAAAACAATTATAAAGGAATTAATAACACCAAAGCCCATTGCTTGATTACCAGCAACGATATCAAGTTGTTTTGCACATCCAATCGGATAAAAACTATTGACAGTATTATTAGCATTTGATATACAATCTTTAGAATAAAAACAAAAGAAACAATAAATATTTTGTTTTTTTCCTATTGTCAATTATTGATGAAATAAATATTGATACTTACAAAGCTCAAGTGTATTAGTGAAAATCGCATCACTACTACAGCAAGTCATAGGTAAAGTAACACCGTATGTAATGACCAAATATTCAATAGAATTATGTGGTGGCATTACTTGACGTTTTCGTCTATAAGAATCAATCAATAAAAGTGTTTGTTAATGATGAAGATTATTACATATATTAATTATATCTCTTTTCACTTACCTTGAATTGCTTGCTGTACTTGTTTCTGGATTGCCATTTGTTGTAGCAGAATTATCGGTAGTATCCGATACCTGAAGTGTGGTAGGTACTGTTGTAGCTGTATTCATATTTGTTGTAGTGATCATTGGTGATGTTCCATTTAGGTCAGCCATTGACCAATCAAGCCACGTATCGATGCCACAGCATGTATAGTGACTTTGTATAAGATCAATTTTAATTCTTGAATCTTCAATTGTCTTGTAGTTTATCAAATGGTCGTGAAAACGTGAACTTACATAACTCAATGACTTTGCATTTATAACAAGTGCACTCACTAATGAAGCAAGTGCAAAGATACCTGTTATAGCAGCTGCAACAGCAGCAATTATACCTAAATTAGAAAAGAAAACGAAAAAGATGTAATTAATCTGATTCGTATATGTCAACATCGAAAGTTTCAGTTTTCTTCTTTTTAGTTGCTATATATGCAAGAGAGTTTTTTGTTTAATTGCTATTTATAAAAGAATTTCATTAGACTGTAAAAATATTCAATGATTCTATTAAGAATTATAATTTTGAAAAAATTATTTTCAACAGATTATTTCTATTGTAAGCTATATAAATATCAAATAGTTTATTTTTGAATACAGTACTATGATCCGTGACGAAACGACCCGTACGTTTCGTACAAAAAAACAAAACAGTATGGCATTTATTAGTTTTATTGGTAAAAATTTTTAATTCTTAAACATTAATTTGAACATAATATATTCGTTAATATTTCATGTCAATTAAAAATGTTTTCGAATGCAAATAAATGGATAACTCATTACATTTGTACGATGAGTAAGAATCAAATATGAAAAAGCATGTCAATAAATACGTTTCACTATATGATTCAGACTGACTCATCTGAAAAAACAAGTATGTTACCAAAAATAGAACCACTCGAATAATATTTTTGTTAATTTATGTACTTAAATCTTTTAGTTTTTTAAAATAAATCTTACCGAGTGATTTTTTTTTTGTCATAATGGCGGCTAAACCTAGGCCACCGGCTGCAAGACCAAAAAAACTAATAACAAGATTAAAACCAGCTAATCCTATTTGTGGACGAAAAAAATTTCCATATTTACGAAACTGTGCAATAATACCAATGCTAACACCCAAATGAATAACAGAAAATGCCAAAAGTAAAGCCATAACAACAATTGCTACAATACGAAGAGACGTCATGTTGTATAATTAGCAGCGAAGTAAATTAATGAGGAAAACAATTTGCAAGTGGTCACTATTGACGAGATTTGTTTTTTCACAATTAAATACCAGTAATTTAAAATGCGTTATTATACTAAAAAAAAGTAGGTATGCATAGTGTGAAATGAAAGAAACAACATATCATGCAACGCATGAATGGAGAAAAATGTAGGAAGACAAATGCTTTATGACTACATCAGAGTGAAGGCTTTTTTATTTTTTGATATTACTCACAATTTGCATACAAACGAACAAGCACATAGTTGACCTTCAATATTAATAAGTTTTTTTCTTTTGATTCGAATTGTATTGATTTATTAAGTTGTAGATGAGCTCGGTATAAAATTTTATCTGTACTTTGATAATATAAAATTTAATAACAAAGAGATTCATTTTATTACTAATTATAATCTGTATCGATGTCAGTCATGATAATAGAATGTTAAATTTTATGCAGAATTAGAAATTTCGAAAATATATTTTAAAGATAAACAATGATGATTTAAACATTTTCCATATAAAAACCTATAAATGTCTAAACTTATTAAAATAAAATAGATATTTATCGAATTATTGATATTATTACACTGATAAATGTTCATTAACTTTTACGTTAGTAGTAAAAAAAAGAAACTTAAAGGTTGATTCCAAATGATACTACGTGCTTTTTTAATCCTTTCTACTCTATCTTATCAATGACATTATCGATTGATAGAGCATCTTTTTTATCTTTTGATAATAGTGAAGACATATTGTTAGATTGTTCGTGAAATTTGTTAACGTAATTTACCTTTCGACGCCCAGCTTTGTTTCAAAAATTCAAGGACCTATAGGAAATGTTTATACATATAGTTTTTATTTTATTTATGAAAGAAATTGCATTTCTGTATTACAGAAACATCAATATATAAGGTGATAGAGAGAAGGAATTTTCATATCTTAAAAAATCCCAAAATAATAATAAGCTAAGAGGACAAAATTCAATACAGAATAACTAATACGAAAGGAATATACCAACAGTAGGTCACACATTGGAAATATACATAAACGTAGAATAAAGAAAAACAACCAATGACGTATACTATTCATATGTAAAATGACGATAGGGAATGTATGACAAGTTTTGAAATGATAGATTCCTAGTATGCTTCACGGCTCTAGCTCGCAAGTCATCAAATAAAATACTTTTCCGAATAATCAAATAGTATACCAGTGACATTCTTGTCCAATAAACTGAATTCAGACATATTTATACATTGCTGATATTCTAAGCGAAAAAACAGGACCTATATATACGTCGCCGGGTACCAAGGGATTAATTGATCATGAAATTATTTTTCTATTCGTTTTAAATTATTATTTATGATAAAAAGTAGTAATGTACAATAGATAAGCACAGTTTGTACCATTTTAATTCCTCTCATTAATGGATATATAATGATGTCATTAATGATCTGTCATTTGTGGAGAAATTCAATTTTTTGTTAATCATAGGTTTAGAGTATCTATCGGAATACTTGTTCTAAAACTAAGTACAATAAAGTTTCTCTTAAATGAACATTAGCTAATTTCTTTAAAAAGTGTTCATATATGGAGATATTCTATATACAAGTTTCTTTATCACTGCTGAATATTTCAAAAAAATTTTCAATAGAACAAAAGACTTTATTTTGTTCCAAGAAGTCTTGTATTATTGTTTTAATTTCGATAAACGTAAATTTGATAAACATTACTGTACA